AGCCGATTTAAAAAAAAAATCGCAAACGCTGGAACATTGCAAAACAAATAAAAATAATAAGACGTGACGTTCAACAAACGTTCTCCAAAGTAAAAAAAAAACAGACGAGCAGGCACAAACAAAACTCGAACTTCATTTATAAGCAGAACATTCACCAAACATTTCACATCAAGTGCGGTCAATAATAATTTACTCATAAAATTGAAGACGTTATTGTATTTTTCATATAATTTTGTAGCCGCTTTAATAATTCTTTCAATTTATTGTGCGTCATAAATTTTTTTCATTTGTTGAATGGCGACGACATTTCTGAAAAACTTTTAATTTAGATTGCATTTTGTCTCTCATCATATTCAACTTATTTTTTGAATTGTTGTTTGTAAATAAATAACGCGTAACATATTAATTATTCCTAGCCATTTTTCAATATTAATAATCAGTCGATCTGACAATTTAATTTGAGAATTTTCATTAATTATTATCAAAATAAATTTAAAACAATTGCATGATAAGTTTAATTTTGGTCTCGTTTCTGAAGGAGATCGATATATTAAACAAGAGTTGACAAGCTCCAAATACATATAGTCACAAAACCAGTACTGTGATGACCCCAGGGCGTAAAGATAGCCTCTTTGTGCGAAAACACCGTTAAACCGTAAAAAAAAACAAATAATAAGTTTAAAAAAGTTTAAACAACTTTTATAACATTGTTGACGTTCAACATTTAAAATGCATGCACCAATCAGGTTTGGAGTAACCATAACTTCGCGTCACTCGTTCGTTAGGATCATCGTCTCAAATTTCAGGTTGAAAGCATTCCAAGACCTCGACTGACAGTGAGACAAGACGGATGAAATCATTCAACTGATCAATCAGCTTACAGAGGTGTCACACAATTCTAACTTCTATTAAACTCATTCTTCGTTATGCATGCCTTGTCGCATTTCAAAGCGAGTCACGTACATATGCTTCACAATCTGTCTCCTTGTGCTGGCTTGTTTTGATTTAAAATTTACTAAAGTTGGTAATTATATTTAGTTTTTAAGAAGCCTACCAAAATTTTTGTGCTCTTCTATGCTCATATTCATAAAAATTATTTCTCGTTATTATTGATACATGTTTGATAAGATATAATATAACTCTATTTTGCGAACTCAACATTTTTTTAATTGAAACCGGTGTTTTTAACAACTGACAAATAAGTAAAATTGCAAGGTTATATTATTTTGTCGCGGAAACCTTGGGGTTTGTTTTGTCTTGAATCTGCTCCATATTTTTGCCAATCCAGTTTTTCTTAAACTATTTTTTACGTGGTCTCTCCATCTCGCTGGCCTTTCTTTTATTTCTTGGCCTGCGTGTTTTTTGCAGTTGTTGTTGTTGTTACTCCTTCCGGGGAACTCTCAGAATTCCAATCAAAGTTGGAGCCAATCCGCCACTGCAAGAGAATTCCTCCAGAGGTCTATTGGTTGAAGATCCGAGAAGTTTTGGGGACAGCGAAACAGATGTTGAACATCATCTGTATAATTGTTGCAGAAAGGACAGGTGTTGATATGCCCATTGTCCATTATGTTTTTGTAGCTATTAAAGAAGAATACTATGGCCAGATCGAAGTTGGGCAAGGGTCCGTCTGATAGCCCTTGATAGTGATTCTTTTGAAGGATCAATTTTTGGTGCTGGAGGAGGCCATCCATCGAGCAATAGCGGCGACTGGTACAACTTAGTGGCGGCTTTAGCAGTATTTGTATGTGGGCTCTTTAAAGCTGTCTTCAGAGTGTTATCGTCGATTATTGTTGGTAGAACCGCATTTTTTGTTGATAACCATTTTGAGAGGAGAGTGGTCTTTATGTCCCAATGAGGACAAGGTTGTACGATGATATTATGGCACGGGTGGCATTGAATTATGGCATAGAAGGAGGAATTGTGAAGCTATTAACTCTGAATGCTGTCTTACTGTTAACATCTGGCATTCTGAGTGCAGGTGTCGTTCTGATGCGACGGCATGGCAACCAGTAACCAGACGTAATGCAGCATTCTGGGAGCGCTGGAGACGGGAGACACCTGAATCTGACGTCAGTGATGCCCAGTTGAACGACCGATGGTTTTGTAGGTCTGTAGAAGAGTTTCCTTATCTTAACCGTAGGTAGTATCAGTGAGTGCTTTTAAAATATTGGTCTTTTTAGAGGCCTTCGATGCTGCTTGTTTATTGTGTCGTGAAAAGGAAAGCATCGTGTCTAGAGTGAGGTCTAATATTTTAGGGTTGTGTTCAAAAAGAAGGAGATTGTTATTGATTTTGATTGAAGGATGGTGATGATATTATGATGTGTTGGATGTGAAAAAAATGACTGTGGATTTGGAGGTGGAAATCTTCAAATTTCTGTTGTTGAAGAAGTCATAGAGCTTTGGCAGGTAACAATTGAGCCGGTGGTTCAGACTATCTGCATCCGGATCAATGGTGTAGAATGGGACGTCGTCTGCATAGGAAATAACTTTAATGTTTTGAAGCGAAATTGGGATCTTGGAGACGTTGAAGTAATCAAAGTTGGTGACAATACAGATCCTTGAGATACTCCTGAATGGATGGTACGTTGTTTTGAGGATTGTCGATTGAAATCTGTTGAGGCGGAGCGACCGTGCAGATAGTTTGAAAGCCAGCTTATAATTGACCGTGGAAGCGTTGACTGTAGGAGGTCAGAGATTAGGGTACGATGATTAACGGTATCGAAGGCTTTTGTGAGGTCCAGTGCTGTTAAAATTGTACGATGAGCTGGCCTCTTCTGGTTTTGTCCGTTTGCGATGTCGTTAACCATCGTAGTAAGAGCTGTTGTTGTTGAGTGAAGTGGGCGAAAACCATGTTGATGGCTTGCTAATGTGAGATGATTTGAGATGATTTGCAGTAGGCATTTTTCAAATACTTTGACTGCCGGACAAAGTAGAGATATGGGACGGTATGATTTCGCGTCGCTAGTTAGTTTGCCGGGTTTTAGTAAGGGGATAATCCTAGATTTTTTATAAATTTCTAAAATCCTACAGGTTTGTAGGGAATCATTAAAAATGTAGGTTAGGAAGGAAATTCCTATTGGGCTTAGGTGCTTTAGGTGGAATGATGTCAGGTTGTCCAGTCTTGTTGCTTTGGACGGTTTCGATGTTCTAATTGCTTCTGCAACCTGATTAGTGTGATGATAGGGTGATCGTCAGGCTGAAGTTTCTTGGCGGTTTTGTTGATGATTCTATTTTGTTTGTTTGATGAATGTTTTGTTGCAGAGGTGAACAGTTTGTTGAATAAATTGGCCATTTGCAGGTTATTGGTTATTGACCTGTTGTTGAAATTGATGGTGATATTTGAGTATTGAATTGGTTTGCCACTGAGAGTTTTGATGTTTTTTGCAGTTATTTTCCCTTTCTTGATCTTTTTGTTTGAAACCAAGGCTGGATAGATCGATTTATTCATTTTTTTTACTTATATTTTTAAAATTTGTTCGTATTTCATACCCTCGTTTATAATGGGGCTCTTGTGAATGATCTGTAATATTTCTGAGTCATTTGTTATCTGGAACTACCAGTGTGACTTTCATATTTTTGTGGTGCTCCATGACTTATTTGCACAAAACAACACTGAAATGACAAATGCATCAAGGTATTCTAAGCTTGATTTTTATGAAAAAGTCAGGTTTCTCAATCAACGTTTGGTGTCGCGTTTAGCATGCTGGTGCTGGTTGGCCCGATGTTGGTCCGCCGTACAACCGACATAGACGCTGTTAAAAATCGTAACATACATAACTCTACTAAAAATTTCAAACTTCATATGTGCATGGTACATTTTTATATATTTCAGCTCTTTACGGCATATATTAACGTGTTGTAGTTATGTTGTTTTAGATAAAAAATCATAATCAATAATTTTTATAATGTTTCCAACAATAATTTTTATTATTGTTTCGTCGTTTTAGTTGTCGTGTTTAGTTGTTGAAATCGACTTTTTGAAGGCACATTAGGAAAGTACATGTACATGCGTTCGTACTTCGTTAATAAATATATTATTAGAATTTATGTTTTTCTTATATAGACACACTGCCGGTACACAAGCAACAAATTGGACTCAAATTTTAGCAGAAGTTTTTTAAAATAGAGACATAAGTTATATTTTCATCGACAAAAAAAATTTATTTTGCACAATAAGCTTTCTAAAAAATTTAAAAATTTTAGTTCAGTGCAGTGTTCCCTGCAAAATGTTTATAAAAATGAATTGAGTTGAAGGTAGAAAAAATAAGTTTAATTTTGAAATGTTGTTCAGCAAAATGTGAATCGGAAATTAAAAGATGTAGCAATGACACTCAGCGAATTACTTTTCACCACCACCATCCATGCTGATGTTGTCACAAACGACGCACCACCATTTCTTCACTGAATCCGCTTATGTAATTATTTCCAAAGACGCCATCTATAAAAATGTTTATGCCTCCTCTCTTTCTCTCTCTCTCTCTTTCTCTCTAATCCCTGCTTGGTTTATCCTGCAATTTTTTAAAAAGTAGATCACAAAATCGTAAATTATATTATTTTAACTAAAGAATTGGTGAAAAATGAAAATTTAGTAGCAGGGCGTTAAATTTTTGAAGCCCAATGAAATAATTTATTTTTCAAAAGATTGAAAAAATATAGTTTTCAATTTTTAAATAAGTGAATAAATACATTTTTTAATAACTTGCGTACCTAATTTATTTGAGTTGGTTATTACAAATAGAAACAAAGAACACTTTTTTTTATAACAAAGAACAAAAAAACAAAATCAAGATAAAAAATTAAAAAAAAGAATTTTTAGAAAAAATAAAAAATTGTTTATGTCAACTGTTCGATTACCCTTGTATATATCAGTATATATATCAGTATAGGCATCACTTGCATTCAACAATCGCACGAGAGGTTACATTGAAACTAAAATAAAAAATATTTCCAAATTACACAAATTTTTCTTGCAATTTAAGTTACCCTTTTATCAAATTTGAATGGAACAGCAGTCCGTGGAAGACAACATCGGATGGAAGGCGGAGAGCGGCGTCATTTATTCATACTTCGGACGTTATCTTGTGCAAACTCGCCAGCAAGCAAACAGCATTTATCTTCTCACCGTAAACTGCACGGAACGGTAGACGAATACTCAACATAATAGAGAAATAAATTTTGTTTACACAGCACAATGAGGCGGCAACCACTTGTAACAAGCGTACATGCTGAAGTCATCGCAGTTGTACGAACAAAACGAACACGCAAATTAACCAACGAACATTCATAAACATAGTAAGCCAGTGTCATAAACATCATAAGAGTAAACAACCTGTGCCTATGCATGCAGTGCAACGTCAATGAAATGAATGAACACGTGCCTACAAAATTACGATAGCGCATATCGACACATGTTTATACATTCATTCACACACACACACACACACACACACACACACACACACACACACACACACACACACACATTCATTCATACATACATACATACATACATACATACATACATACATACATACATGGTGGGTACCAGATTGGACGACGAAACGGTCAGGACAGCCATTGGCTTCCGTCTGGGGTTGGCCGTTCAGAGTCGATATACATGCAGGTGCGGCGCGGAGGCGGATGAACTTGGCCATCATGGTCTTGTTTGTCGTTTGGGCGGAGGTCGCCAGCAGCGACATTCAGCCATAAACGATTTTGTGTGCCGACTTTTCTCCAAGGCCTCAATTCCGGTTTTAAAGGAACCGTCGGGCATTGCGGCGCACGACGGTAAGCGCCCTGACGGGTGTACCTTGATCCCTTGGAGAGCCGGCAGGTGCTTGGCGTGGGACGTTACCGTTCCGGGCACCTTTGCTGAGCGCTACGTGCAGCTTACTAGCAAAGAAAGCGGTTTGGCTGCAACCAGGGCATCTGACGAGAAGATCAAAAAGTACGACGGAGCTCTCCCCTCGATGGAGTTTTTACCGATTTGTATCGAGGTCCTCGGCCCCATGGACCGTATCACCTCCGGGTTTTTCAATCGGATTTGTAAAAATATCAGTATTAGGTCAGGCGATAGTAGGGAATATTTTTTTGCTATGAATAATATCTCGTGCATTCTGCAGCGGTTTTTGCGCGTCTGTGTGTTGGAAAATGTGGAGTTGAATGCCGACGGGGTTGAGTGACGTTATAGCAAATAAAATCAAATTTAGTCAGACGCTTGGCTTTTGGTGTCATTCGTCAATGATTTGGTTTTAACATACATACATACATACATACATACATACATACATACATACATACATACATACATACATGCATACATACATACATACATACATACCATCTTATTTTATTAAATTATTTTAAGGTGTCTTTGATACATATATACATGATACATGCAGTCAAATTTTGTTGTTGCCTATCTGAATGACGTCACACTTGAGTGGCTCTCTGGGTAGTTTGTTGAATGATTTGCCGGTTATTAAGAGTAGCTGTTCAATGCTTGTTCTTAAACTAAATTTCAACAGATGCGAAACTGTCCCGAGTCAAACCGCAACCTCAAAAGTTTCAACCGATAATTAATCGTAAAAGTAGAGTTGGATTGAAATTTTCAGGTTCTAATTTTAAAATTCTGAAAAATAAAATTGGATGAATTTAAATTTATTTTATGATCCAAAATGAAGCAAAAAATTAGATGAATTTAATTTTGTTTTAGGATCCAAAAATGCCACAGATTTTAAAACGTGACACATTTATTTTCCCGACACAAACTGTTTTCATTACTCACCTGAGCATACCAAAAAAGCATTCCAATCCACCTCTAACAAATTTTCGAAGTAGAAGGTTGGCACCAAGTCCATCAATTTTACTTACCAGCAGGATGGTCTTGAATCATCAGTCGTGACTGGATTGTCAACTTTTCGTTTTTTCTGCAGCCACGATGGCACCAGCTCCAAATCCATCTTCATTTTGAAGCAATCAAATGTTTTGTCTACGGACTATGCCGGATTGTTGGCTGTTGGAAATCAGCTGGGTTTAGCATGCTTAAAATATGTGCCTAGCAATGCTTACGATGCAAAATTAGGCAAGGCATTAATAAGGATGAGTCTTTGTTTAAGACTTGGTCTGCCGCGGGTAAGTCTCTGGTGTTGATGCATCTGTGTTGGGCTCTGGTGGCCTCTCATGTGGACTGCTTTAACAATTTTAGATGCAGCCAAGTTTTTAAACAATGAATTCAAAAAGTTGAATGGCGATAAAAATTTTTCTTTTTTTAAATAAACACTTGGATCTAGTTCTAGCACTAGACGAACTAAGATATAATAAAATTACATAAGTGAAAAACCAAATTTGATCAATACATTTATGTATATCAAACTTGTAATCACATCAAAACCATAACATCAACAACACCACATCACCAGCAATATTAACAACTCCATCAAATTCATGACAATAAAACTATATCACCATAAACACCAAAGATTTTTAGCAACGTGAAAAATATATGACAACACAGACATTACAACATCAACAACATGACATCTATCGACCACATTACGACATGATGACATCAAAAAAAACACACCATCACAACAAAATAAACGCTAATGGTATGCCATTAAATATATGACATTATATTTTTGTCATGTTAACTTCAAAAAATCAACAGCATCAAAATGTTGATAATGTCCACCACAATAAACTCTCATTAGCAACATCATAATCAACAACAACATCATTACCATTATCATCAACATCATTAAAATCATCATCAACACCAGCATCATCATCAACAACAACATCATCAATATCATCATCAACAACATCATTATCATTATCAACATCATCATAAACATCATAAACAACAACATCATCATCAACATCATCATAAACAACAACATCATCATCACTATTATCAACAATAGAAAAACGCCAACAACTACAACAACCCAGCAGATAGACATTCAGCTGATAACAATTGTCGTCGCACGCAACAAAACTTTCCACTGCATGCCAAGACAATACTTTATAGCATGCGGCATCTTCTGTTTTCCAATGTGGCTGCATTAAAGTGCATAGCAATTAAAAAATAACAAAAAGAAAAAAAATTTATTGCAGGAAAAAGAAAAATCACTAGTATAGCGCTTCATTCGTTGCATTCTACGTTTGTATATCAAACACTATTTATTAATTACTTTCAGTTCCAGACTGATTTAAACTTCAGTAATTACTTGAAACCGTAAATAAAATGAACGCTGCATGTAAATCTAAATGTAAGGAGGTAACAACTGAAAAACTATCGCAGATGCCAAGTTTATTATCCGAAAGATGAAGATGAAAGTCAGAAGACAGGAAGTGTGCTGGAATGGGACTAGGCAGAAAATGTAATAAAACGTGAAACACATTGGAGTATGAAATGGACCGACATTGAAGTTTAAAATGTATTGAATTATGAATGAAGTTTATTAAAGTGAGGCTGAAATATATTGAAGTTGACCTCTACCGTGACCTTGCGCTGGCCGGCAGATGTCATTTGAATAAACTTCAGATCTGTCGGCTTCCATCCAGATATAAGTCTTCACTTGCTTCTACTCTTCCTCAATCATTTCTTCCTTTATTGAGAATTCTTTTATTCATTTGTTTTATTATTTACTACATTTTTGCTGCAAAATTTGAAGTGCTCCGATTCTGACTGATTCTATTTGATGAGTCGCAATTTTGTAATTATACAGCAATATTGAATGAAAAAATATTGTAAATTATTTTTATTATCGTTGGGAATAAGAAAATTAACCGTTTTCATCTTGAATTAAACTTTTTAAATAAGTGCAAAAATTTATTCTCAAGCCTTTGAAGCACCACGCATTCATGCGTTCATTTATTCGTTCGTTTGTTTGTTCGTTAATTCGTTAATTTATTCATTCATTCATTCATTCATTTTCATTCATTCATTCATTCATTCATTCATTCATTCATTCATTCATTCATTCATTCATTCATTCATTCATTCATTCATTCATTCATTCATTCATTCATTCATTCATTCATTCATTCATTCATTCATTCATTCATTCATTCATTCATTCATTCATTCATTCATTCATTCAATTACTCACTCAATCACTCATTCACTCACTCAATCACTCACTCACTCACTCACTCATTCACTCACTCACTCACTCACTCGTTCACTCACTCACTCACTCACTCACTCACTCATTCATTCATTCAATTGTATATTTGTTCGTTCGTATTTATTAATTCATCCATTTGTTCATGAATGTATTCACTCAGTCTTACATTGAAGTTCAGATGATGATCGTCTTCTAAATGGCCGTCTCATAATTATCATTAACCAGGACAACCTACATTTTCGCCGTCATCATCATCATCCTTATTATCATCATCATTATCATCACCAACTTAATAATAATAATAATAATAAAATAATAATGTCATCTGTGCAACGCCGTACGCGTAGCTTCAGAGGCGTCGATAAGCAGACGTCAGCACGGCAACCACTGCAGGAGGCCAGCTCGAACAGATGTTGTTTCGATCGTTTATTAGGCGGTTCCATCGATGATTGTTGACGGATAAAGAGTGGCAAACTGTTCCATGTTGATGGTGAGCAATATGAAAGCCTTCATTGGCGGGAGTTGATTTATTGACTGGTTGATGCAGCTGCAATGATGACGACTGACGAAGGTGATGGCGATGATTAATAGATGAGCGAAGGTGAATGAGTTTGTGAAGATATGATGGTTGAGATGTGTTGAGTGTTTTATATGTGATGACAGCAATTTATTATTTGATACGTTGATGAATCGGCAGCAAGTGCAGGTGAGCAAGAGGTGATGAACTGGAAGACAAGCGAGGTAATTCTAAAACAAGTTTGGCTAGTCTGCTTTGGATGATTTGAAGAGAAGAAATTAGATACGCCGGAGTTGCATGCAACAGAGAGTTGCAGTAGCCAAGGTGAGATGGTGCAAGATGATGATAGGTAGCGAGAAGATGATGCAAGATGATGATAGGTAGCGAGAAGATGATGCAAGGCAGCGTGCTAGCGTGGAGAACATTTCAATTTCTATAACTATCATTAACCGGAATCATCCACGCGTCGTCGTCATCCTCATCGTCATCATCATCATCATCATCGTCATTACCTGGATTGCTCCTTCACCGTAACTATGATCATTGGCATCAACGCTGCCACCATCACCACTACGATCATCATGATCATCATCATGATCATCATGATCCTCATCATCATAATCATCCTCATTATCATCATCGTCGTCGTCGTCGTCAACAGAACATAATGATGATTATCATCATCCTTATCATCATCATCATCATCACCATCATCATCATTATGGTTATCATTATCATCACAAACACAACAATCGTCAAGCGGTCACATCACTACCAGCTGACCAGCACTACAGAAATGCTTACAGCGACGACATTTCACGTTGTGGTGACGACCTCACAAAAGTTTATTTGAAGACTTTTTCAAAATATAAAATGAGCAACAAAAATTTCAACTCATGTGGTGGAGCGTACGAATTGTTTTTATTAAATTGTTTCTTCCTTTCTTCCTTCCTCCCTTCTTTTCTTTCTTTCTTTCTTCCTTTCTTTTTCTTTTTCATTCCTCCCCCCCCCCCCTCTTAACACCACTAAAATTTTAAGACGAGTTTCCCAATCGACAGCAGAGATAAAAGTTTATCATTCAGTGTCATCGGAATATTCAATCAGCAACGAGTTAATAAAATATGCCTGCAAGAAAAAATCATCACCATCATCAACATTCTCATCGTCATCATCATCACCACCATCATAATCGTCGTCATCATCATCATCGTCGTCGTCTTCATCATCATCATCATTGTTTTTGAGTCATCATCATCGTCACCATCATCATTATTATTCTTGCCCCCATCATCATCATCATCTTCTTCTTCATCATCACCGTCTTCGTCATCATTATAATCATCTTCGTCCTCATCATTATCATCATCATCACCATCAGCCTTCCGACCCCCACCACCATTGCTCCAACATACATCCTGATTGTTGTTCATGATTGTGCCGCGCCATGTAGACAGCAACTCCATCAGACAACGACTACCACCACCACATCCACACACACACACACGCACACACGCACACACACGCGCACACA